AAAATTATTATTGCAACTTCTTGAGTTCTGTCAATATTTAACAGCTGCCAGAGAATTCTTACACTGAAATCTGCATCTTTTATATACTTAGTACCCTGGATTTGAACTCCATAGGAAGCAACTCAGATTAAGCCACAACTTTTTGACAAAGCCAGTACATCTCACTTTTGGCTTGCTGATTCTGAAAGAGGGCTGCAAAGCTGACGAGTTGAAGAACCCTTTACATTTACCGGGTAGGTGGGACCAAGCTTTTAAAACTGCCTTGGTTTTATCTTAAAATTCAACAGCAGCTCTCTGATGTTAATTTTCTCACTGGATTAAAAAAGTCTCTTCATTTTGGTGCCATGTAAAAAGAAGACATTAGGGACAGGGACACGATTCATGATGGCATTTAAATATGGTACAGAAAGCACCATGGCAATATAAGCAAGGAAATAGAGACCAACGGGAATAGTTGCCTAATTTGCCCCGTCCGCATTGGGGTCAGACCCAGGACTCATCAAAACACCGGGAAAACGTCCTAGGCTTGCGACTGCCTGAGAAGCCAAGTAAATCCCAGTGCTACTTTGGGACTAACTACGGGACTTGGGTTTTATTTCTAAAATAAAAAAAGAGAGATCGGAACGATTTTATGTGCCATAGTTAATACACCAAAGGTGGCATAAAGTTCCTACGATGCGGGAAGGTGCATTAATAAGGAAATATACCCAATCTGACATCCAGAGGATTTTTTAATGTCACACTTTTATTTCACGAAATTCGGTTCCATTTTGCTAAACCAGCTTTTTAAAACCATGCCCACACATCCACTGGGCCGTCCCAGCGCCTTAGGACTCATGCGAGCGCCCAAGCCTGCTCCTGGCTGCCTCCTCCTCCTCCTCCTCCTCCCCGCAGCCAGCACTGACCCCACAGCATCAGCTGAACCGTCAGCAGCTCAGAAATGGGGTGGTTCCGAGGAGCCTAACAATAAGGTGGATTATGCATCTTTGGAAAGTCTCAGATATATTTTTGCCTAAGGACAATAGCTAGGGGGTTTTTCTACACTGATCAAATAACTCCAATACTCTTTTAGACAAACCTTTATATAATTCATGACCCAGTCTAAAGTACCAGATAATACTGATTCAACGATAAAATAACTTTAAAGCTTTTCATGTGATTTCAAGAAACCTACTGCTCACGTTTACATCTGATTAAGCTCTATAAATCAAACTCTGCGATCTTTACCAAAACCAACGGTTATCAGCAGTGATTTCCAGAGGAGGTTCGACCACGCAAGGATTGCAGGAGGTGGCTTGATTGAAATCGCAGTCAGACAATGAGTTTCATCGCGTAGTTTGAATAGGCTAATTACAAACCTGAAGTCCGTGATGCGAAATCCCCTCCCCGTGTCGGTCCTGCTGGCATTTGGACAACGGTTTCTCCTAGCCACCGCCCACCTGCACGAAGGATGCGCCGCTTCTCGGTGCTGCTAGTTAAAACTAATCCATATATTGCAGATATCTTTGTTAAAAGATCACGAAACCTAGAGACTAAACCGATATGCTAAACCGATGCTCATTTCTCCTCTCGCAGGCAGAGGGAAAGGCGCGTTTCTCGGTAACATCATTGCCCCTCAAATCTACAGCAGGATCTCAAAAGCATCCGGATACAGAAGAAACCCTGTAAAGACGCTGTCGTCCTCAGCACTGACGTAGACGCCGTTCCAGTCCCGCGCGACCTCCAGCCACACCTGGTCGCCCGCGCTCAGCTTCAGGACGGTCAGGAAGGATGCCTGGTCGATCTCCTGGCCGTAGAGCGTCTCACGGGCTTTGGCCACCTTCCTGCTGCGGGCGACGAGGCTGACGCGGGCTGGACGCCCTCTCACCGTCAGGTGGTAGGCGAAGACGTAGGCCCCGGGCACACTGCAGTTGAATTTCCCGGTGGATGGGTTGTAATCTTCTTGGTCGTTGTACAAGATCTTGTCAAACCGAATGGGGACGTTGGGCGGAGGGAAGGGCTTGGACAAGCCGGCGCTGAACGCCGACCGCAGGAGCTTCGCGGCGTCCCCTCGGGCACCCTTCGCCCCACGGGAGCCTTTCTTTCCCGGGGCCCCTCGGCCCCCCTTGCTGCCAGCAACCCCCTTGGGGCCAGAAGGTCCTGTCATGCCGGCAGGTCCCAAGTCCCCTTTTTCACCTTTACATCCTTGCTCGCCCTTTTCTCCCCGTTTTCCATCCGCCCCCTGAACACCCTGAAGCCCCATCTCCCCTTTGCTCCCTTTTTCTCCCTTTGTCCCCCCTTCCCCTCTTTCTCCCTTCGCGCCTCTTCCCCCTGGCTCCCCACAGTACCCCTTCTCCCCTGTGTCCCCCTTTTCCCCCTTGTCACCCTGTTCTCCACCCACTCCCGGGTCTCCAGCATCGCCCCTATCTCCCTTGTCTCCTTTGGTCCCATTCTCACAAGTATCCCCTTTGGACCCCTTTTGTCCCTTCAGTCCAGGGAAGCCGTAGTTGCCCTTACTGCCTTTTACTCCAGCTTCACCTAGGAAAAGGGCAAAGTAGGGGGGAAAAAAAAGGTTCAGAACATCAGTATTGGATTGCTTTGGAGATGGAGGGACACCACCGACAGCAAAAGAAAAGGTCAGCACAATATTCCTGGGTTTCCCAGCCTGTGTTACATACCTTGCAGCCCAGGTTTGCCTGGATAACCGGGGTTTCCACTTACTCCTCGCTCGCCTTGCTCCCCTTTGCCTCCTAGGACATTTCACCATTAATATACTGGTGGTGGTGGTGTCTGCAGCACAGCAATCATTACACAGAAGATGACTGGTAGCATTTCGCACGTGCCCCTCACTTCATTAGTAAAACAGACGTGAGCAATGTGTGTTTCCAAGAAATGCCTTCAGAAACCTCAGCTGCATCTCACAGCACCAAGCACCGTCACGCAGATAACCGCGTCTCGCTCGAATGCTGGGTTTCTGACTCTAATCAGCGTCTCGCTGGGAGGCCGTTGCTGCTGTTTAATGGCAAGAGGGAGAAGATGCCCCCGCTGCGTTTCTCACTCCGGGATCGCCAAAGCCTTGGTCAAAAAGTGAGTCAAAGCCTAAGAGACTGCACTGACGGCACTGGTACCCCCGCTAGCAGCTCTGCTATGCGTTTCTCTGCCACCAAAGGCGGCCGCGGGATCTCGCCAGTGGTGCGAGGCAGCAGGACAGAGCTGCTCTGGGCTTGAAACGAAGGGCAGGGTTTCCTTGCGGTTACTGCTGACTAGATGGGGCTGGGAGCAACCTGGTCTGGTGGAAGGTGTCCCTGCCCATGGCAGGGGGTTGGAACCGGGTGATCTTTAAGGTCCCTTCCAACCCAAACCGTTCTGTGAGTCGATGATGATGATAACTGCCCTCCATCTTAGCTGAAATAATTTTGCCTGAGATACTCAAACTGCAATGCAGCTTCCACACCTGTGCGTAGCTTCCATAGTGGGGTTTTTTCCTACTTATGTCCCTAACCCAAAGGAAATTGAACTCAGTTTTTAAAATCACATTCAGAACATGGAGTTTTGAGCGAGATCTTTATAAGCAGCTGTTCCTATTCCACCTGCGCATACACTACCACCATCTGAGTTACTCCCCCTGCACTAATGTCACCTAAATCTCTCAGGGTGTCAACCCATATCGGCACACTCCGTTTCCTTTGAAAAAGACTTTTTTCCTATAATTTTGTGGTATTCGATGAGGACAACAGCACCTGCTTTTGAAAGGAGCAGTTAGTCTGCTTTACCTCTTTCTCCTTTAGAACCTTTTGGACCTTGAGGACCTGGGGTTCCCGGCAGACCTTGCAGACCAGCATCTCCCTTCTCCCCTTTGGGACCTGGAACGTAATCACATCGACAAAATTATCTTCATAACGCAAAGGTTTAACTTCAGAAATAGAATTTGCAACAACAGCTTAGCAACACGGCACTGAGGAACGCCTGCACAGCAAACCCTGTTTCCATCCCCCTGGGAAGGCATCGTACATTCATTTGACATCACACCACCAAAGCAAGGAAGGTGTGAGACAGCTGGGTTTGGCCTGAACCCTGTTTCCCTCCAGCTTGCAGACCTGCAGCTGAAACCCTACGGTGGGGCAAAAGGCGAGGGCTGGTAGAGGCAACGTGCCGAGATTAGCGGGGTGCGTGCTCGCAGCTCCCCTGGTCAGGCTCGCAGCTCCCCTGGTCAGGCTCGCAGCTCCCCAACCTTTGCCTTTCAGCTGCTGCAATCCTCACATCTTACCGGTTGGCATTTCACTCTTGGCTGTAGCTAAAGACTTTTTAAAACTGACTTTCAGCTGTCTCGGAGCCACAGGAGCTCAGACATTCCTCAAACACCAGAAGTAATCTGTCTTTAATATTTGAGCGCATCTAAGGAGCTCACATAGCTTCGTAATTGCCCCTCTCTTTAAAAGGAATTAAGCCCACAAATATAAAAGTGGAACCTGGCAGACAGCTCCATGCTGCATAAAGGATGGGTTGAAAGGCAAGCAAGCTGGCTTCAATCTTTTTCTTTTTTTTTTCACTTTTTCATCCACTTGGGAATCTAGAGAACCCCAGAGACTCCCAGAGCAGACTATGGCAGCCCCACTCATCACCAGACAATCCATTTAACACAAGGACTTTCCCATCAACACTCAAGAGATGTATGAGCGCAAACTCCCTCTGCAGCCGCTATAATTTCCATTAGCAAATCCCTCCCGAGCTATGGCAAGTGAAAATCCCTCGAGTACATTGTATTAAAAGAAAATTATTTCATGATTTTACCACCTTTCCTCAGATGAATAGTTTCTATCTCCAATATTAGTGCTATTAAAGTGAACATTTGCAGACTAATGCACTATTCATTAGAGCGGTATTAGAATCAGGCACTCTATAGAGAGGTATTTTACCAGTAGAAAGAAGAGACAAAGTGTGTCTTATAAAATATTTAGGTGCTCTATACAGAGCTGCTCTTGTGAGAGCGAATATATATTTTAAAATTTGAACCCAAAATTATTTTTGTATTTAAATTCCTCTTTTTCAAGGGGAAAAAAAAAATCCAAGGGAAAAAAAAAAGGCTTTTATCATAAAAGGTATAAAACTGCTTGCAGGTAGTTTTGAGGGTCATAAAACCACGGCTGAAGTGAAAGTAAATCTGTGACTCCCAGGGGCTCAGACACCGGGACAGAGAATCGAAGAGCACAGCCATGTGGGGCACCCGCCGGCAGCGACGTGGTATGGGGACAGCTCTGCACGTGGTCCCCAAAGTGGGTGCCACCGGGAGGAAGCTCCTTTTTTGGGGCTTTCCCACTTACATCGGTGTTTTACAACTTCGGGCATGTGGCTAGCGTGTACTTTTTTGCTCTGGCGTTACACGAGGTATAACCACCCTCGGCATTTGCCCCACCAGTCCTGCCAGCTCGTTTCTTGCAGGAAGAGCAGGAGTCTCCTCGATGCTCTTTAGCTGAAAGTGCCGAGACAGGCGTCACCATACCTGGGGGTCCCTGCTCCCCCGGCTGCCCCCGG